GTTCATCTCCAAATTTCGACATGCTACTACTACGCAACACTGTCACGAGTGACAGCTGGTCACTAGGCAGAAGGGAATTTCAAGACAAGCTAAGCCTTTGCCATATCACATTCTTCTAGTGGGATTCTAAATAAAGCAAACTTGTATTTGCATCAAAGTCAATGAAGTTATTCTGATTCATGTTGAGTAGGATTTGTAAGCTTTACTAAGAGCTTTGACTGCCTTAGCTGACTTAACCTGTTAAAGGATAATCCCGAACTTCTTAATACGAAAGAAAACATCATGAATAGGATGAACTTATAAAGGAAATTATGCAAGAACTGACTTTGATTACTGGATAGAATTTAGTTGAAGGATAAAGCTTGACTAGTCTGGAGTCAGGTTTATGACTAAAATTTAAATTGATTCATAAGTATTATATATATAACACAGGGTACATGCATCCATGAGTCCTTAATAAGCGTCATCATTACACGTTAATTTATCTACCTGAATAAAAGACCGTGGCCAGATCCGCTCTCTTTTCATGCATCAACTTCATTCATCTTTTCATGCAGTAGTCCATAAAATCATAGATGTCGAAGTTAGATATAAGAAGTAGGATTTTAGTTGCCTATCCTTCTTGGTTTAGTGCTTTTGGTAAAATTATCTTAGATGCTTTCTGATTCCCATGATGTCTGTCAAATAGTAGACGACAGCCCAACCCGGATCAACTCAGGTCATAACAAGGTGGTTCGATGTTTTCCTTGCATATCCCAACAACTACAAGTCCAATGCAATCCTTTTTTATGTTGAGTAAATCTGCTATTTCAAATGAAGTGAAAAATATTCAAAAATAAATCTAGTAATGGATTATTCAAAATCCATCTTCTCTTCATATTCCTAAATCGGATGTCGCTTTTTCGTAATTTGTTCAGAAAATTGGCCGACATTGGTCAGATTTGTCTGGATCAATTGATTCGTGGTTTCTGGCGTCTTAGTGAATGGTGTGACTTGGTCACTGTCCATTGCCTGCCTGGATCAGGGCCCCTGGAGGCCGTTCGCAAAGCGGCTGAATGGTCTCTGACGGGAAGTGGCGATAGCGAAGTGGCTGGTGGGCTGAGCTCACATCCACGTGGTGCTCTTGTAGAGGCAAATAATGGCAAGCCCAAACCACTGAAGCATCACTTGGCTTGTTTGGTGGTCGCAGAAATGAGCTCTAAGGTTTGTTACTAATAGACTTCAAGTTGACGTATTTTTATACACAATTTAATTCCATTTTTAGTTTGGCAGAGTTAACGTTTGGCAAGGCCCAGCAACACACTGATTTGCCTTATAGGGTCGCCAGTTAATTTTACTAATTTTAAGTGTTAGCTTTTTAATATTGTCTTGGCCAAATGTTCTTAGTAAACCATTTTTGCATAAATTCTTTTTAGTTCCTTTGTAATTAATTTAATACTTTGTTTCATACACTTTTTCTTAATGTACCGGGAAGCATAAAGAAATAAGGATAGTCGTGATTTGATTTCATGTTTAATGTTCATGTGAGAAATAGTTTACTAAGACCTAATGTACCTAGAACGTGGAGACCTTGAGTCTCAAGTGTGCAGACGACCTTTCCATGTCAATTTACAAAGTTTTGTATTCCCAAATGATGACGTAACTCTGACATCTTATTTTTTAACTGTGCTTTTTCTATCTCTTCAGGGCTCCTTAATTGATTCTGCCTATAAGTCAAAGTGTCTGGAGTTCGCTAAGCAATACCCGAATGTCGTATCAGGTTTCGTATGTCAAAGCCCCTTCACCAACCTCAGTGATGCCTATGCACCTTCGTATTGGGTACCAGGTTAGTGCATGGCCGATTTACATGTATGTGATTGTCAGAGAAGCTTCTTTCGTCCTCCAATTAATCTTGAATTTTTGTTGATGTTTTTATCTGTATAATTTGTTTTTTTTTAATTATCGTATCTTATAATTGTGAGTGGCATTAGTGAATGAGGCATTACATCATCTAGTTGGCTGTTTTACTCCACTGAGTAAGAGGAGAAGACTTGGCTAAGTTGAATTCTGTTTATAGACCTAAAATTGCCAACCAACTCGTGGTTTTTGCATACACACACGAACACGCATCAATGAAGCTCTAACAAGTCCCAGGACTACAGCATCATACGCTGGTTTATTTAAATAGCCATAAGTTGCGGACTTATCCGCTCCTCTTCCTCCATCACTCGCTTACATGCATGTACGACAAACGTTAAGTATGAGATACCTCGAAACTCTATTTATGTACGAAAAACGTAAAGTAGCCAACCAAGTTATGGAATAGAAGTTGTTTGGCCTCTCCTACTTGGACCACGTCTAGATCCAGTCTCCGCCGCGTCTATCTTGTTTCTATCAGTAATACTATTTCAATGACTTGCTATGCCTTATTCTCTTGTGTGCTAACTCACAAATGTTGTGGTACTACTTGCTTTGATTAGGTTGAATATTGAACCACAACGTTTGTGGATTGACACACTAGGATTTTACCTTGATCCAGTAGCTGATCTTACTGTTGTCTGGTCTTCTACTTTGTTTAAGCAATATGCAAAGTTTCCGCTTATCCTGCCTTTCTCAAATCTCCTGTTTATTAGCTTTCTCTAGGTCAGTATATCGATGGCCTCTCTGATCTTGCGTTTTCTCATATTTTAACCATATGCAACCAACCTTTCTATCGATTTCCAGTCGATTTCGTGCCCCATTCGTGCAATGTGTTCCGCTATTTCGGATTTTTCCGTATCCATGTTCCTGTAGAATCTTTGATGTTCCTTGATTCGTAGGCCGATTTTTCTTCCTGTTTCACCGATATACTTCTGCTCACAGTTGCCGTATTTGATGCGATAAACTCCTGAGTATTCAAGTTTGTCAGACTGGTGAAAAGTGTTTTCTTCTCCTTTGTTATCACCATTTTCCTAATAAAGGTTACAATTGTTGGCTCAGTTTTGATGAGGCCAAGCAGATCCCCTTTTGGTTGTTATCCTCATTCCTGATCTGATTTTCATAAAATCCAAGTTTAAATCGGCCCCTTTATACTTCTGCTCACAGTTGCCACATTCGATGCGATAAACTCCCGAAGAAACAAGTTTGTCAGTTCTTGTGTTACTTCAGCAGACTGGTGAAAAGTGTTTTATTCTCCTTTGTTATTATCTTGATATTCCATTTCCTTAGTAACGGTCGAAATCTTTTGGCTCAGTTCTGATGAGGGCATGCAAATCCGCTTCTGGCCGCCCTCCTGAGCTGATTTTCATAAAATCCGAATTAAAAATCTGCCCTTTATAACCTCTGCATTTTTTTCTATAAATTCTCTAGGGCACCCATTACTAAGGCAAATCTGTGTCAGTTTGTCCAACTCCTCGTCCAAGAACTCATTGTCTGTTAGTCGTAAGCCTCTGATGATCAAACTCCTTATTATTCTGTTCTTCAGTCTGCAGTTATGGTGAAACTCAATATTAAGGATTATTCCCGCATATGAATGCTTTCTGTATAGTATTCTCATGAGTGTCCCGTTGGAGCTCATGACTTCAATATCCAAAAAGGGTAGTCGTTCATCTTCCCCTACCTTCATAGTGAATTTAATTATTTCATCAATTGGGGAAATCATTTACATATTCCTTACCTTGTGACCAAAGTACAAAGTAGTCATCCAAGTATCGCGCAAGCACTCTTGGTTGCAGTGGTGACTTCTCAAATTACCTTTCCAACTTGTCCACGTACACATTTGCCAAAATGGGTGAGTGTGGAGATACCATCGGTAGTCCAAATATTTGCTCGTGGATACTGCCGTTAAATATAAAATATGTAGTCCTTAATGTTAGGTTGATCAGTTGTGTTAACGATTCCTTCCGTATCTGTTCTGCCTCCAGGATAACCTCTTCTCTCCACTATCTCCAGCAAGGCGCTTACCGCCTTCTCACCTGAGATGTTTGTGTACATGCATTGTACATCGAAGCTC